GCCACGCTGCCCTCGTCTGCGTGAACTCGGTCGACCATGGCCTGAGGGATTTGGATGCTGATGCTGAGGACGTCGTTGTGTGGTAAATCGAGGCCGATTAGATCTTTCGTTTTGAAGTCGATCACGGGATCGTCTTCTACTGTTGAGAGGCTGGTCGAGATTTGGGAGATCATAGTGGCCCATTTGATCTTCCTATTCTTTTCTTAGCTGGTTAGCCCGGACTAGGATCGTGTTAATCCTTTTGACATTCTGGGGTAGCTCCTTGGCAGTACCGCGGTCCTCAATCTGTTGGATGGCTTGCTTCGTAATGAATTCCATGCAGTGGACTTATCTTACCAGTTCTTCGAGGTGCTTTTTCCAGGTAAAGCAACCATTCATGTAGTGATCGTATCCTCCACGGAAGGCATAGTATTTATGGGCATTCTTCTTATCCAGGTCCTCCCTTAGAGGCAGTGGTCTCCTCACCCAAGGTTTGTCTTTTACTTGGGCTAGGATCTGATGTATGGGGATGGAAAATTTAGTGAAGTTCTCATTTGCCTCGGGGACCCCTTGGGACTTGCGCTTGGCACTGTTCATGTTCTAAATCTATCGCCTCTCTAATATGCCTGTTTGGCAGGTCGGTTAGCTTGCATATTAGACTTCTTTCTAGACAATTTGGTTGTCGTCCCAGAGTAAGTAGCATTCGGCGGCCGGGAAGATTTTTGCTAGAGTCTGGCTGGGAGCGATAGTTAGCTCGTGGTATAAGTCATGCTTAACTAGCAGGCCCTTCTTGAAGGACGCAATTTGGTCATCACATCCTACAATGTTTGAACCTCTTGATGTAATCTCGGAGGGATTCACCAGACTTTTTGTGCATGTTGAATAGGTGGCAAAGGTTCTTCTTGATCATCCGGTAAGATGTGTATTCTTTGGTGAAAACATAAGCTAGCTCCTTCAAGCTGCCGATTGACCTAGATGGTAGGGTATGGAACCAATCCCAGGTTGCTCCTCACAAAATCATGGCAAACACTTTGCACATTAGCACATTGTCGACCTTGTAGAGGATCATAACACTTTTGAAGTATTTTAGATGGCTCTCAAGATCGAAATCTCCTTTGTAATATGTGTACGAAGGCGTTGAGAATCTTTTTGCGGGAGCATCG